CAGAAGAATTAACAAAATCTGTCCTGGAAGAAGTTCAGCCAGAATGCTCCTTAGAAATAAGGCTGGTGAAGACGTCCTCTCATGTACTTAGATTGTGTCATCAGAGTGGGTCAGCCCCTCGAGAAGGATGCCATGTATGATACAGTAGAAGGTCAGAAAAAAAGAAGAAGACCCAGAACAAGAGAAAGTGACATAGTAGCTGCAACAATGAGTTCATCATGGCCATGACTGTGAGGACGGCGCAGGACTGGTTGTACACAGGGTTGATATTAACCAGAAATTATGCATAGCACCTAACAACAACATATTTTTCCATAGCACAGCTCAATTAACAAAAGCCTAAAAAATGTGTTTAATGTTTCTGTTCTACCTCCTAGTTCACTGCATAGCACCTAAGGTTCTAAAAATTTGCAATTAGCATAATTGGTCTGTCTTGGTGCTCTATACCCGGACCAACAGAAGAAGAAATAGAGACAAGACATTAAGAGGATAGGACTGTGTGGCAACTGCCTCCATAAACAACTTTCACCTTTGCTATGAGGCCAGAAGTCTGGATAGTGTCTGACCACCATTACGCAATACTTTGACAAAGATTGCCTAGAATCCCAATCAAAAGAGGAAAATTGCAGAACAGAATTTTAAATTCTCATTAATTCTGGACTTTATAGGTCTATGGAGCATGTATGAACCCTGAAACTATCATTTTATAGAAGTATATATAGAAACTATATACAGTTTTAAGAGAATCATTAAACCTTAAACTAAAAATATCCCCTAAAGGAATCTTAAAACCATACAGTAGTCCAGTCTAGCCAGGAGAAAAAGGTCTATCTTGGATACTATACTCTTTTATAACAATATGAGATCAAATTGCCAGCAGTAACCAAAAAGGAAGTCACAACCTTAGAGGGCAGTGAGTTCTTGTTAGTAATGGAGGAACAATTCAGAAAAGGAGTGTAAAGAATTATTGTACAACATGAAGAATGTCATCAATTTCACTAGGTTGTACATGGAGAAATTGTTAAATTGGTAGATGTCTTGCTCTGCCTACTCTCAACAATAACAAAATAACATTTAGAAGGGAAACAAGCCTTCATTTACTTAGGGGGGGTTTGTTGTGGTGCGATTTTTTTTTGTTGTTGGTTTGGTTTGATTTTTTTCCCCCCTTCTCTCTCCACTTCCACTCCAAACAAGCTCCAGAAGGCAGGGTTTGCCTGCCATTTGGCTCACAATATTCTGAACAACCATTTATCAAGTGACTAAGGAATGACTGGATGGTGTAGATCCAATGGGTTGGCTGGAAGGATGGGACAAGCAAAGGAGACCCCGCAAAGCTTGTACTTCACCTTACGTTCTCTCCAGCACCTCCACGACCATCGCTCGCTGGATCTTCTTGATCACCAATGAGAAGGGTCAGGAAGGCAGATGTCCCTAGTCCTGTTACCAGGAATAGAAAGTGCTGTGTGAACAAGAATAACAAGGCATTTCTTGAACACCTAGCCTGTCCCAGTTGCCACACTGCATACACGGGCACTTTGATCTTCTCATACATCAGCACATTAGAGCCAGAGAGGAAGTACCTTAAAGGCAGCTTTAATTTTTTTGTACAGGAGGAAGTGGTGGCAGAAAGGGAGTTAAAATTGAGTTCTTCAACTTCCTCCACTCCTCACCCATACAATCCAAAAGAACCACTGAAAGGCAAGAAAACTACTCCGAGGTTGCCATTCCCTTTCTAATAAGAAACTCCACCCCTAGGCCACCATCCACCACCCATAACTACCAGTACACAGAGAGAGAGAGAGCGCGCGCTACTGAAACATTTACCAAGATATTAAAGAGGAAAATTGTGCCGTCCATCTGGGGTTTCCTCCCATGTCCTCAGTTCAGCATATTTGGTACCCAGGGAAACTTGTATCAGGGAAAGGAAAGTTCAAGTGGAAAAATGGAGCTTTAGCATGGTCTTCAGAAATTCCTGAGGAACAATGCATTAACTTCTCAGTTACTTACACAGAAAATTCATGAGCTCTAGAGTTGGACTTGGGTTCAGGCCTGTCTTTACTGTTTTAACTGTGTAGCCTTAAATAAGTTCCTCAGTCTCCTCCAAGCCTTTAAACTGACCCATTCGTTTAAAACTAATTTTTGTAATAAAGTTCACTAATCCATATTAGTGGGTGAAGAGTCTGGTCTAGATTGTTAGAAAGTCTCATGCATCCTTAAAGGGACTGGAAGTTTAGGGGTCTTCAGGGGCTTTGTTTGAGGTTTATATTGTTTTAATCTTAGTAATAACATTTATTAGCCAATATTATTAAGTACTTTGTATATGTCAGGTATTTCCCTAAGCACAAACGTCTCAAAAACAGGAGGAGCTACAATTATTATCCCTAATTTTATACAAGGAAACTGGAGACAGTAAGCAGTCAGTCGAAGGCACTCAGGACGATAAAGAGAAGAAATGGCATTTAAACTTGGCTCTGACCCCAACGCCCCCTGTTCTTAACCATCAGGCTACTCAGTCTTGGGTAACTTACATTAGACCTGAGGCTGGTAGGTGAAAGGAACAGTTAAAATGGGCAAAGCATGTTTGTGTGGATGCGTGAATGTTTGCGTAGAGTGCATGCTGTCTCAAGAAGCAGGATGACTGTGCTTTCCAAAACTGGGTTTCCACCATTAATTGGTTTGCTGAATGTGTTGTGAGGAGGGAAGGAAAGGATTTCTTTAGAAAGAGGGAAGAGTTGTGAGATGCCTTCTTGATGTGGGTTCGAGGAAAGAGACTGTCATCACAACAGCTGATCCCAAATCCTGCAAATCAGCTGTGCAAACTGGAGGATATTAATAACCTCTTCTGAGGTTCATTTTTTGTTTGGTTAAAAGGGGGTGAACATTGAATCGCCACAGATCCATTGTAGGAACAAACTAGGTGAGATCTCCCCATTCTGGGTGTACACATCTACATAAGCCACCAAGTCACATAGAGTTAAAATAATTAGCAAGGAAAAAATCCAATGGAATTGGTTAATATCTCCATATAAGTCACCTTAAAAAAAAGGTTTGTCAATAAACATTTTCCTCTCCACTAATACACTCGTCAGCTTCAGCCTGTTGTTGTTGTTATGTGCCATCAAGTTGCCTGAGACTCATAGCGACCTGAGGCCAAACTGATCATTAATTCTGATATATCCAAATAAGAATGGACGAAAAGTCACTATATTCTTTGGAATGGAGTAAGGACCCTAACTCAAATCCAAACCACCCCAAGGATGTCCCCAGCCATGAACACTTAGTGATGAGCAATACTTAGTGGACAGAGTGCTAAAGCGGGCACCCAGGAACCAGTTCTGGATTCCACTCTGTTGCTCATTTGCTATATATTCTTAGGCAGCTCACGTTGCTCTCTGAGCTTGGTTTCTGGCTCTGCAACTAAAAATGGTGGGATAAATGATTTCCAAAGTCCTTTGCAGCTTTCATACATTATAATGTCTATGCCCAAGGAGACCTGGGATGAGGATCTCAGCACTTACTGAGTTTCTTCACCTATAGGATGAAGATAATAATAGTACCTGCCTCATTGGGTTGTTCTGGGGATTAGATAAACTTACGCCTTAGAGGGGTGTTGGTCCAGAGGAGAACCCCAGAAAATGGTAGCTAGTGATGGTAGTTATTATATATGTTGTTGTTGTTAGGTGCTGTCGAGTCGTAGATGACTCATAGCAACCCTATGAATGAAAGACCTGAGCACTGTTCATAGAGTTTCTAGAGGCAAGCCATTTCAGAAGTGGATGCCACTCCTGCTTCCAGACTTGTTTTAATAGGGAAGCTCCAGCAAACACTGTCCACCATGGGTAACCAGTATCACATTTGGCACATCAGTGTCACAGTGTTCAGCATCACAGCAACCACGAGTTACCTCTGTACAGCAATGCACAGACCAGTGCCATACCACCT